AGCCTCGCAACCTCTCAAAGTACAAGGAAAATCAGGAAACACTCAAGTATATTTTTCGTTGGTTACTCGAAATCCCAAGGATTCAGATATACACGAATACACTTCGTAACCTCTCAGAATGAAGAGCTTAAAGGAGACACGATTTAAGAGCGGTTGAAGTAAATCATGGAATAAGTGTCAAAGGCTGCAGAACGGTTTGGGGAAGTTAATGAGCAGTTCCAAGAGTTATCCAAAGACGTGCCCAGGAATAAGCCACGATATGGAAGTTTAGAACGGTTATGCACTTCCGGGGCACATTAGAAATAGTTACTTTTCCCAAATCTTTGTCTATAAATTAAACGAGTCATGGTCGTAGCAAAGGGTCAGAAATCTAATTCACAATACCTCACACGCACTCCGCAGCCTGCACATAAGGCATACTATGCATACAAGACAGCTTTGGGTACGATTTCTCGACCACCTATCTTTTTTTTCCTTTTTTAGGAGTAGCGTAGCATAGCATAGCGTAGCATAGCATATTCTAGCCTAGTATAATGTAGTCATCTGAACATGTTTCGTTATCCTTACGAATTGTAATTCTGTTACCATTTAATGAAGGATATGATTTCTGCAGTCAATATACATGTCATCTGTTCGATTCACGTTAATTCTTACATGCATGAATTTGATTGTATAATTAGCATAGATCTTCTGATGTGATGAAACAAGCATAGATCTTCTAAAGTGCTAAACACCAGCATAGATCTTATGACGTGCTCAGACAAAGAGCATAGATCTTCTGATGTGCTGAAATAACACCCTAATTACACTCTATTTGTTGCTTGTACGATTTTATTTTTTCACTGAAAGTCTTCGATTCTGTCATGTCACGAACACGCATAAATTGAAACGTGAAATCGTGCTAGTTCGAATAAAAAGAACCTACGAACGAAATCCTCCACAAACAAATTGGCACGCCCGGTGGGACTCGTTTGGTGCACTTCATTGAACTAATTGAACTAGTTTTGTGTGTGTTTAATTTTTATGAGACTTAGAAGTGGGAGAACTATGTCTACATCCAACAGAAGAGATGCACTTAATGAAGAACAGGGTAATGGAGAAAATCAGAATACAAATCAAGAAAATGTGCCAAATGAGACCAGGGGGGCAATGTCTCCACCTCCTGTAAATATTCTAAACTCCGCGAGATTTCTGAATGCGTCACAAGAAATGGTGAACGCTACCCACGAATACCCATGAGGGATGCCTCCGAATTAGAGAAGTACCCAACCCATGAGCGTAGAAATGCCAATACCATATTTTGGGCACAATCCTCAAATGCAAATATCATCATATGGGTATAATGCAGCCCCAAATGGGATGGGCTTTATCATGCACGATCCTCACCAGCATGTTGGCACAAGCCAAGAAGGGTTGTTGGTTCGACAAAGTAATTATATACCCACGGGTATAAGCAGTGAAGCCATGATAGCCCTTCGACAACAAATGAATCATAGTAACCACGATATGGTAAATTTGTTGTCTACACAAATGCACAACATACTCACACCCCTATACGAGCTGATGAGCAAAATAGGTGATAAAATTAATGATAATCGTCTCTCGAGAGATACGAGTGTGAATCTGAATGGCCTCGAAAATCTAACCGTTAATGAGACGAATATTCGAGAGATTAGAAATCGTATCAATCTCAATCAAGGGGAACCTCTAAGAAATGTCGAGGAAAATTTAGATCATATAGTCGAGAGGGTATTGAATAGGCACGAATTTGAAACGGGGTGAAATGAGCACCCTTACTTTGTATCTGCCTTTCCTGACTATATTACCCAATCTGAGCTACCCAGGGGGATGAAAGTCCCGAAATTCTCAAAATTCGCAGGAGAGTTAGGTGAATCCAGCGTAGAACACATAGCGAGATATCTAGTCGAGTGTGGAGACCTAGTGGGTAATGAATATCTGAAAATGAAATATTTTCCAAGTTCACTAACCAAACATGCTTTTATGTGGTTTACGAATCTGCCACCTAATTCGATTATTACTTGGGCACAACTAGAAAAGAGTTTCCACGAGAACTTTTTTCGAGAGGAAACCAAGGTGAGCATAGTTGATCTGATGAATATAAAGAGGCAACATCATGAGACATTGGACGAATATTTGAACAGATTTAGACAGTTAAAGTCTCGATGTTACACCAATATTCCAGAGCATGAGTTGGTAAAAATTGCAGCCACGGGGTCGAATTTTTCGATTCGAAAGAAACTTGTGAATGAACAATTGAGAGATATGGCTCAACTAGCAGAGAAAGTGAGCCGAATTGAACAAATTCGAGCAGAGAAAGAAAGGTTGAGAAAATTTGACAAGTTCGTTTGAAAAGAAAAAGTGGCATATTTAGACAATATGGACGTTAACGATAATAATTTCGAATGTCTAAATGAAGAAATGGAAGTGAACTTAGCTGAATTGCAACCCGGGCCAACCTATCAATGCCAATTATTAAAGCCTGGGGAAAATAATATAGAGGCTGGATCGAATAGAAAATATAGTTTTGATATAACGAAAGCTGATAGAATATTCAATATTTTACTAAAAGATAAGCAAATTACACTTCTGGAAAATCATAAAATTCCTCCTTTTGAACAAAGAAAAGGGAAAAATTTTGTAAGTATCATAACATGTATGGTCACTGGACTAACAATTGTGTACATTTCAGGGACATGATCGAGAAAGCGATTACTGATGGTCGCTTGGCTTTCAAGGAGAAGGAAATGAAAATCGATACTGATCCATTCGCTGCACAGGCAGGATATGTGGAACCTCTCCCTATGGGGATCAATGTGCTTGAAATCGATATGGTTGATCTGGTTGTGAACGAAGAGGAAGTTGTCGAACCTATTACGGATGAAAAAATGGAAGAGCTCTTAGATGAGAAAGAACAAGAACCCATTTATCTAAAGGAGGGGGACAGTTTGCTTGATTTCCTTTCGAGGAAGAAAGATAATGATCGGGAAGTTATGCTTTGCCCAAGATGTAGCGCTGTGTTCGATAGATCAGCGGCTAAGGCTTTCGAGGAATCTGAAATTATGAAAAATTATAAAGCTGAGAAGGCTCGAAGAAAGTCGAAAGTGAACACTGACATAGTGATGTGTCAAGTTCATATGCCACAAGGTAATGCTCCAATGGCTCCAATCAGAAAGATGGAGATGTACAACTCCTCCAGAGTTGGTAATACATACCTGCCAAATGCGCATGTTCCCATTCTAGGTCAGTGTTGTGCTTGGCACGCATGCTTTGTAGGTCGGCGGCGTGTTGCTGCCGCATCTGTTCGACTTGGTCGATTAGTCCCCTCAATGTTGCTTCGTTATCCATGGTAGTTGAGTGATTTACGTCGTCTGTTGCGCGTCTACTATGGCTTCTGGTGAATACCATAAGCGTGGCCGATAAGAGCTGTCTTGATCGACCCCACGATGGGCGCCAAATGTTCTTACCGGAAATCTACTGTAGAGATGATCTACCGAGTAAGATTGGTGAGCCTCCTTCGCTGGTACGTTGGTGTTCCAAGATGGGGGTGGTACTTGCAAAAGAGACTCTGATGCTAAAGTTAGGGTTTGTATGAGTAGTTGTCTCGTGTAAGTAATGCACGTACCTTAGTATGGATTAGGGTTGCGTTGGGCCTTGGGCCTAAGATCAGTTCTAATCTAATTAGATAGTGGATCTCGTCTGGACCGAGATCTCCTCAGATCAGTTATGATCTGGTTAAGTGACGAGCTGACGTCACGTAGCGCGTATCCGAGGTCGTCATGCGCTGTGATGTCGAGCTGGGAGCTCGGCTTTGCAGTACGGATAGTACATAAGGTGATAGTAATTTTTATTTAGTAAATTTTTTTTAAAATTGAGTTAGATCAAAACCAATTTCTTAATATGGTATCAAAATTTATTTTAATGATATTACTGATTGTTGTTAAGTCTATTAGGATCACTCACTATCATATCAATTAGATATGTAGTCTTCGGTGCCAGGAGAGCGTATTAAAGATTTCACATCAACTAATGAGATGATAATATTACGACATACTAGTAGGGAATTTTTTTTTTTTTTTTACATTATAAGTTAATTTTATAAAATTGAGTTAGATCCAAGATCTACTTCTTAATATACTATTAAAATGAAAATGAATAATAGGAAAAAAAATATAATTTTAAAAATTAAAAAAAATTAAAATCATGTTGTCAAAATTATTATATAAAACACGTTCATCAAATTACATCAAGTATTTTTTATTTAGTCAAGTTGAGTCAAATATGAGATTATTAAACTTGATATATTTGTTTTATTCAATCATGTTAATACAATTTCAATCGATGAATTATTTATGAATTATTTAAATTTAATGTGTAAAATCTAATATAAAAAATAAAGAGTTATTTTAAATAAGAAAAAATTTAAAAAAACTTCTAAACATGTATTTAAACATGTTATTCTAAATCAATTAACCAAAACCTTCATTATACTTTTTTAAAATAGTGCACTATTTTATTTTAACTAAAATAGATGGCTATATAAACTGGGGGTGTGCAATATTTGTCTCATTTCGCTAGTCTTGGCCCAACTCAAGGATGATTAAATGCTAGGATTTTAAAAAGTAGACCGAGGATGGTTCAAAATATACTTCGGAATATTCCAACCCAATTTGGTATTTTATATTATATATTCTTTCACAACAGGTCACAAATGGTTTTTGAATAATTATATATTAATAATAAATTTTAAATTAATAGATACTGTAATATTTTGTATGCTGTGATGTTATATTTATAATGATATTAATTATATTAAAATATATAATATGAACTATGCCATAATTTAAAATTTATAACTATTCATGCGAAGATAAAGGGTTCAATTTGTTACATTATGAAATAAAGTTTGGTAAAGGTTATCAAACTCTGAAAGCAAGAAAACTGAAACTAATTTACAACAAAGTTAACCCATATGTGTTCTGTTTTACAGAATCTGATCTCCCCTCCTTTTTTTTTTTAATTTTTTTTTTAAGGTATAATGGAAAATCATCCCACTACAAATGAGAACTGAGAGCTGTACAGTTAGAAATCATAGAATTGTGAAACAAGTAGTTACATATCTGTATTTGTTATGTCCAAACTCAGTGATGTTATGTAATATGTACGTATATAATTGTTGTTATTAGAAGCAGGAACATGGCCCTGGAATCTTGCCTGTTGTTCTAATTATATTTGCCTTCTCTTTTGCTTTGAACACTTCATTCCTTCGTCTTTCCTCTGCTTGAGCTCTTGCTCCACCTGCAATCTGATTTATATAGCTCATCTTATCTTGATATTTCTTCAACCCTTTCTCCCTTTTCTTCTGACTTTCACTTTGCTACATTTTCATAAATTAATAATAATTAGAATTTAATTGAAGTGCACATGATGAAACATTGAAACTACAACTTTTGTAATGACTACTTTAAAATCATCAGAAAAAAATTATGCACTAACAGGGTAAAACAATGTCATCCAATCACAAACTATTATGTATAGTAGGATTGTTGGCTTTTGCAATAACAATTTTAAAAATCATACTAATAGCAATTTGTAATTGAACTCAAAAATCATATTTAGTCATCTAATATGGTTTCCAATTAGTTATATTTACATGTGAAAATTAAACTGTAACTCTGTAAGCACTACATATACACACATAATTTTGATTAAGCATGTATCTATTAATTGTTGAAACCTCACCTCATACTTATTTAGCTTGCGTCTTGCTTTCATCTGCTTCCTCTTTTCCCACGAATCTATTGTTTCTAACAAATTCTCATACCTGAAAATTAAGCATTGCGTGAAAGAATCCAGTTAGTACCATAGAAATAATCTTATATAGTTTCATGTCTCCAATAGAAAAATGACATGCATATGATTGAAAAAGAATTTTTTCTGTCATATTTATTAAGTTCTTTTATTGAGATATAAAACTCATTTTTGAGGAGTAAAACTACTTAAGAGATCTGTCAGTGAAAGTATATGACTATTAAACTCATTTTGCATCAGAGAAAACAGATATAAAGGATACAAGTGATTAGGGAGTTGAGCGCGGATTCGCTCGTTCTCGGCGCGTAGCGCCGCCAGGTCGGCTTCATTAGCGGTACGCATTGCCGCTAGGTCAGTGTTGTGCTTGGCACGCATGCTTTGTAGGTCGGCGGCGTGTTGCTGCCGCATCTGTTCGACTTGGTCGATTAGTCCCCTCAATGTTGCTTCGTTATCCATGGTAGTTGAGTGATTTACGTCGTCTGTTGCGCGTCTACTATGGCTTCTGGTGAATACCATAAGCGTGGCCGATAAGAGCTGTCTTGATCGACCCCACGATGGGCGCCAAATGTTCTTACCGGAAATCTACTGTAGAGATGATCTACCGAGTAAGATTGGTGAGCCTCCTTCGCTGGTACGTTGGTGTTCCAAGATGGGGGTTTGGTAAAAAATCATATTTTTAATGAATTTTTTTTTTAGATAAGATTTTGTAAGAAAAATAAATGAT